TCACTTAAACTTTCTTTACAAAATCTGCCGAACAGATGGATTGGGTGAAGAGGTAGCATTGAATTCCCCCCCACGTTCACCAGACCTCACACCACTAGATTTTTTTTTATGGGGATACCTCAAAGATAAGGTTTATAGCACAAAACTTGCAATAATCAATGAGTTGAAAGCAGTAATTGAAAGAGAATGTGCCAAAATACCAAATTAAATGATTCGTGATGTTTGCAATTCCATTAGTCATCATTATCAGCAGTGCCTGGACCAGAACGGTCATTAGTTCGAACACCTGCGATAACTCAAAACATTGTACACCTGTCTTCTTTAACTTGGATTATAAAACTCAGATATATCTTAATAAACATTCTATTTATAATCATTCAAAATGGGTATACATTTTTTTGGAACACACTGTATATACACAATAATTTTAAGAAGGTTTGTGTTTAGAATTGTTTCATGTTGAATTTCTGTGAAATGCATTTCACTTCAAATACGATTATAACATAAAGAGTGCTTCAACTAGATTGTCTCCTCAGGTTAGCTACATTTGACATTTTAATACAATCTTGTTTCATGGTACACTGTATGTTAGCATTTCATGAAAGTTTTAGAGAAGGGTGTGTCTTTGTGTTTTCTAATTAAGGTAACTTAGTTTGAATATATTTTCGTTTTAAAATATGTAAATTTTAAAAAACAAGCACATGCAGAAGTATGAAATAAAAGGAGTCATGAATAATGTATAGGTATAAAGCTTTTATCAAAGTGGATTTGAAAAGCATACAGTTTAAGTATTATTAAACTTTCTACAATATCAGTGCCAATTTTCTTCGATTAATGGTAAATAAGTTTAGAGCCCAAGTTATTCTTTAAAAAACTAACTAAAAAATTTGAAACATGAAATTCATTTAGGTTTAATGATTTGGATGTAAAAATTTGGCAGAAAATATAAAAAAATTTCAATGCTAAAAAAAATACAAACAGCCAGTTATAAACAGTGTTTTATGCAGAATTACCTAGATATTTTAGGATGGAACTTATTTTGTAAATAGATTGAACTTTAACATCTATTAAATATGTAAATTTTTTTACATTTATATTCTTTTTTTTTCTCTATTCTGTACATGCTTTTTAATGTTTGATTTTTCAATTGTTTTACGAAGTTTGTCTTAGCCTTTTTTTTATATGGAAAGTAATTCCACCTGTATGTCATATATCAGTTAAACCTAATGGATAGTTATTTTTACATGCTTATTAGTGACAGTATCTTTTAGATTTAATGTGTTACGTATTTTTTTTATTAATATCATTTTTCTGTTGTCTATATTGTTGAATATAGTTATCAAAGATGCCATATTTTCATATGTAATATTTTATGTAACATTTGCGGGTTCATGCTGTCAGTTAAAAGTATAAAATTTACTAAACTTGGATAACCTTAGTTTATTGTTTATAGAAAAACAACAAGACGTAGATCTCACAAACTATAAGTCTGAGGATGGCCACTCTCCACAAGCTAATAAAGGTCGTTATAAACCTGGCCAAACAATGTCCCAGATTTCAGGGGTCAAGAAACTGCTGTGTCATACAAACAGCCTGACCAAACTCCCCAAATATGGAGTGGAAACTCTGAAGGAAGAAGAGCTAGGACAGGTAAATTAATGAAGAAAACTGGTTATTATGCTATCATACACAATATGTTATATATATATATGTTGTACTCTTTTAATGATAATAAGTTAAAATTTCTAACCTCAAAACATCATAATGAACATAAACCTTACACTTTTATTATAAAATAAGTTATGCCTATTGTTGGGATTTGATGATTGAATTTAATTGTTTTAACTAAGTGTGTATGTATTCCATCTATTCTTCTGTGCTACCAATGTTTTTGAATTGATGAGAATAATATATAAATGTGATCATTGTTTGTGAAAATATATAAATAGCTTGGTTTAGAGACATGGACATCTACAGAAGTTTTTCAGGGGGGGGGGGCAAAGTAGTGTGAAATTGTGAATTGAATAAAAAATTCATATACATATGTTGAATGAAAGAATTATGTCACTCATTTTCTATGGGTGGGGTAGGTGCCGATGTGGACACCCATGTTTACAGATTGAATATATGATGTGATAGGCCTTCTAAACCTTGTTATTATGACACATACCTTGTTTCACAACATCTTTGTGTACAGACTAACAAATGCTATTTGTGCACTTCTACTGTTAATTATAATTTTGTATTCGTTGCTTCTAGCCAGAGGAAATGGGTGACAGTCATATTATTTCTGATATATTTTTTTTTCCTTTGTGGTTTTTTAAGTTTTCATTGAATGTATAGATCAAAGTAAAGTGGGAAATATAAATAACATTGATTGTTTATGCATTAAATTTGTTTTTATTTGATTCTAAAGGTCAGTAAGCTTTGTTTCTTTAATGCAGTAAATGACTGTGCAGGTTAATGGCTCAGTTTGTCATGAAGAAAGAACTGGGCTTGTGATATATTAAAGATGTAATAACCCTGTTTGTGTGTTTCAACAACATGAACATTGGGCTGACTGGGTGTTATGCATCAGCCATGTCAGTTTTGTATGTGTTTAATGGATTAATTGACATTATTCAAAAGTGAATTTATATATTCTGCTATATAAAGGAGTTAAAAGTCAATCACTGGTCTACTGGTGAAAGATGAAAGTATA